GCAAAGATGAGATACGTCTCTATTTTGAGAAACGATTTTCATGATATCGAGAGACTTTGCTGCCACTTGGCTTTACATGATTAGTTCAAATTGTTTTAATTATTTGATATTTAAACAACTAGTGGAATTAAACAAAATTTATTAAAATAATATTGATGAGAGACTCTTCCAGTCTCTATCCGATAAAGACAAAGATACTCTTATATGTGAACATTTATCTACACAGCAAACAAAAAAGTATGTGAAATTATTCTATATAAAACATGTCCCAATGCGTGCCAATTAAACACAAAAATTCAACCGAACATGTTAAAAAATCTCTGTCTTGGACTCTTGGTTCTAAAGATAGTGAAGAACACCAAAGTCGCTAGAATTCTCTCCAAACCACATACTTGGCAGTCTTATTCCAACAACGGATGGATAATAAGTATCAATGCCCAACTCCGAATTAGCTAGTATATGTTCCATACAGCGACTCATGTGACAAGGAAATGCTAATAGCTTATTTGATATGAAACCGTTTTTCTTAACAACATATATTAGCATAAACCACATGTACTATATATAATCCAAATTAAAATTTGAGCTTCGATATATATAATCCAGTGTATCAAAAAATTAATAAAAAATAGCATAAATCCCTATACTATATATAATCCAAATAATGGAGAAAATCAATAGTTCGAACTTAAAATATCTTGATTATTAACTCGCATAAATTTGTTAATCAAGTAGAGTCTAGTTGCTGGACTAATTCTATCAACTCCAGCTCTTGGCCTCATAAACTCTACCCTTTCTCCAGTTGTATCCAAATTCAGATTAAAAAAAAAAAATCATAATAATAATATTGATATTTTTTTTGCATATAGTATAAATAATAAATATAGTCATTTTTTATTCAAAACTTAGTCCAACCGAACCTTACTAACTTTCTTCCCACGGCTTTCAATTTTGTCTTTAGTTCTGTTTCCCAAAAACACTTAGCTGTTTTCTTACTGTAAATCTCTAACGCGCTCTTTGCCTAACTGGCAAGATGCAACCAATCTTTGTTAGGTTTCTATCTCTTTTTATTTTTCCCTTATATTTAACACACACTCACCACAAACACATCAAACTCAACTCATACACACTGATTCTCTCGTCTCAAAGCTTTCTTTTCTTGGTCTCTCTGTTTTGCTGCTTCTACAATTTTTATTAAATATGGCGTCTTTTGCGTTTTGTTACAATCTCGGTGTGTTCTTCTTGTTTTCCGCAGCTGCTTTGTTGTGTCTTGATGCAAGGTCAATGGACAAAACGCAAGATTATACGTCGTTTCAGTACCACAAAGGAGCTCTCCTCACCGGCGACATCTCCACCAACCTAATATGGTACGGCAAGTTCAAGCCGTCGCAGCGTGCAATCATCACTGACTTCGTTGCTTCCCTCTCGTCTTCCCGGAGAACCACCACCACCGTGTCCAAAAACCCCTCAGTCGCCACGTGGTGGAAGACGGTGGAGAAGTATCATCACCAAGGTAACAAGAAGACGACACGTGGAATACTCACACTCTCTCTCGGAGAACATATCCTCGACGAAGGATGCTCAATGGGAAAAGCCTTAACGGAGAAAAACATCAAAGCCTTAGCCGCAAAAGGAGGTCAAAGCCACGCGGTCAACGTCGTCTTAACTTCGGCTGACGTGGCGGTCCAAGGCTTTTGCATGAACCGATGCGGATCGCACGGGTCGGGTTTCGGGTCGTCAGGCAAGAAATTCGCTTACATTTGGATTGGGAACTCAGAGACACAATGTCCAGGACAATGCGCGTGGCCTTTCCACGCGCCGGTTTACGGACCACAAGGACCGCCACTTACGGCACCAAACAATGATATGGGCTTAGATGGGATGGTGATCAACTTGGCGAGTCTTTTGGCTGGAACCGCAACGAACCCGTTCGGAGATGGGTATTACCAAGGGCCTAAAACGGCACCGCTTGAGGCTGGATCGGCTTGTAATGGGATTTATGGGAAAGGTTCGTATCCTGGTTATGCTGGAGAGTTGCTTGTGGATGCCACGACCGGTGGAAGTTATAATGCGAAAGGAGTAAATGGGAGGAAATATCTGCTTCCGGCTTTGTTTGATCCGGAAACATCAGTTTGCTCTACTCTGTTTTGAATAATCTATTATTAGTTAATTAGTAGTAGTATACACTAGGTTCGAGA